GGAAGTAAGGAAGGAAGGAAGAAATAGGAATGGGAAGGGAGGCAGGGAGGGAGGAAGGGAGGAAGGAAGGAAGGAAGGGAGGGAGGGAGGAAGGAAGGAAGGAAGGAAGGAAGGAAGGAAGGAAGGAAGGAAGGAAGGAAGAAATAGGAATGGGAAGGGAGGGAGGGAGGGAGGGAGGGAGGGAGGAAGCCCTTAGACTTATATACCAGTCCACAATGCTTTACAGCCCTCTCTAAGCTGTTTACAGAGTCAGCCTATTGTCCCCAACAATCCGGGTCCTCATTTGACCGACCTCGGAAGGACGGAAGTCAGAGTCAACCTTGAACCACTCAGGATCGAACTCCCAGCAGCGGGCAGTGAGCTGGCCTGCAAGGAATCATACCTGTAGGATACCAAGTGAACCAGGAGGCTTCCGGACATGATCAGCAAACAGTAGATTACCATCCTCAGGTTGCGTTGCTGCCTCCTCCTGAACTCCTGGTCTGAATACCACTCCGGGGGCGTTTTGTGGAATTCCTGCCAGTAGGCATCATCCTCAGAGGGGTCTGGATTTCTGGGAGGGGGCGGGGGGGAGAGGAAAGAGAACAGCGTGGATGAGGAGGAAGGGGAACCACAGGAGCTAGGACACCCTGAAAATATTTCAAAAAGAGAATACTTTTTTTTTTAACCCCAATACAGGTAGTCCTCAACTTACGACCGTAACAGCATCCCAAAATTTCTATTGCTAAGGGAGACGCTTGTTGAGTCTTGCCTCGTTTTACGACTTTTCTTGCCCCGGTTGTTAAATCAATGTGCAGTTGTGCAAGTCGATAACACGGTTGTTAAAGGAAACCGGCTTCCCCCCACTGACTTAGCTGGATAGAAGGTCGTAAAACGGGGATCAGAGTGACCCCCGGGACACTCTGACCTTCATAAGTGTGAACCGGTTGCCAAAGCGTCTGAATTTTGATCACGTGACCACCACCCCCAGCGGATGCCGCAACAGCCGTAACTGTGACAGACGGTCGTAAGTCCTCTTTTTTCCCGTGCCGTTGTAACTTCGGACGTCAGTCGCTAAAAAAGACAGTCGTAAGTCGAGGACTCCCTGCACGCTCCTTCCTTGCCTTTATTTACCTTCCGGCAGCTCGGAAGTGATCCGAGCGGAAAGGGTCTTCCGCCGAGTGTCTGCGGGGGCCTTGACCTTCCCAGGCGTGCTGGCCGCTCCGTTGCTGGCGGTGGACGTGGAGGGGGTCGAAGGGGTCTCGGGCCGAAGGTCGCTGGGCTTCCGGACCCGGCCAGGCCTTCCGGAGCGTTTGCTGAGCGTCGTAATTTCGGCGGCTTCTCTCTTTGCTCAAGACGTTNGCCTTAGACACGAAAGCCAGCTCGGTGACATTGGCCTGGTTCTTCTCTATCAGCCCAACCCACATTGCAAAGTTGTTGTTATAAGGAAAAGAGGAGAAAGGCATGCTGGATATGTTTGCCACCTAGAGTCATTCGAAGAAATAATACACCAGCGTAGGTAAACGAGCTACAGAGGTGCGTTCACAGAACATGCTAAGCTAAACAAGTAGAAATGGAGTTAACGTAACGGGTGGTAGGAACCCAGCAGCTGTGGTGAGTTCATGATTCAGTCTATTGTGCACAGAGCATTGTGTGAACCCGGCGCTTCTGCTGAGTTCGTATTTCAGGGTACTGGGCGAAGGGGGTTGTGTGAACCCAGCAGCTGCGGTGGGTCCGTGATGCGCTGCATTGTGGAGGCTTCGGAAAAAGGGCAAATGGACAAGCCGGGCTTTGTGTCTCACGCAGCCGCTCACGGACACTGTGAGCTTGTTTGCCAAGCTGCGCTTTGCCTCGAGACAGTGTGAAGCTCACGGAACAGCCCCGCCAATTGTGCGACATGGAGGGGGGCCCTTCCCCAACACCGACAAACATCGCGCCCGACCCAAGAGAGAAATAATTCAGGATAGGGGTAAAGAGAGGGGGCTCAGAGGAACTGCGTGCCTCTCCTTGATACCCCGGGGTTAAAAATCAAATTGGGGAGGGCGAGCCAGAAAGAGAGGTGGATGAGAGGAGGAGGAGAAGAAGAAGAAATAGAAGGAAAGAGAAGGTGGAGGAGGAAGAGAAAAAGAGAAGGAGGAGAGAAGAATAGGAGAGGTGGCAAAGGTTTTGCTCGAAGAGATTTAACAAAAGATCGTGAGAGAGCGTGGTTTATCCCATCAAGCCATACCCTCTTTTGCTTCAGGGGGAAGATTCCCCATTTTTTTTTTTAAATTACTAAATTGATACGCCAGCTACCTCATCTTCAGGCGCCTCCAGGCAGCTGACAACAACGTAAAAAGAAAACTACGGGCGGTCCTCGACTTACGACTGCAATAGAGCCCCACATTTCTGTTGCTAAGTGAGGTAGTTCTTGAGTCAATTTGCCCCATTTTACGACCTTTCCTGCCACAGTCGTTAAGCGAATCACGGCAGGGGTTAAATTAGCAACCCGGTTCTTAAGTGAATCTGGCTTAAGGTCAGAAGGTCGCAAAAGGGGAAGGCGTGGCCCCAGGGCGCTGCAACTGTCGTAAGTATGAGTCAGTTGCCCTCCATTTGAATTTTAATCATGTGAGGATGCTGCAGCGGTCGTCAGTGTGAAAAACGGTCCTAAGTCACTTTTTTCAAGGCCGTTGTTAACTTCGGTCACTAAACGAACTGTTGTAAGTCAAGGACAGCCTGTATATAAAACATTAAACTATTAAGATAGTAAACCGTATTATAAGATGAGAAATTTTGGGACAGCGAAAACCATCAGTCAACGGAATACCGTAATAATAATAATAATAATGATAAAGTTGGAAGGGACCTCGGAGATCATCTAGTCCAACCTCCTGCTCAGGCAGGAAACCCTATACCATTTCGGACAAATGGCTGTCCAGATGCTCCATCACTGGAAGTTTTCAAAAATAATCTGGACAATCGTTTGTCCAGGATGGTATAAGGCCTCCTGCCTTCAGCACAGGGTTGGACTAGAAGACCTCTGAGGTCCCTCCCAGATCTGTCATTCTAATCTATGCTGTATGTTGAAACCAAACTCTTCCTTAGGAAAGTCCACAGGGGGTGTTTTTGGTTCAAGGCTGCCCTCTTCAGGAAAATGTCAAACATTGCAAACAGATTTCCACGGAGCTTAACTAGGTTTTAAGCGGTTAAACTAAGTTTGGCTTTTGAACCTCACGCCCGGGTTTTAGCCGTTGCCCTCAAGTCTGAGCTTTTGAAAGAACAGGAGAAGGTTTGAGGGACTCGTTTTGATGCTCCATCATCAGCTTTGTAGTTTCATCTGACATTTTCAGCACAGATAGAAGGAAATAGCAATCGCCCTTAGACTTATATACCGCTTCACAGTGTTTTACAGCCCCTCTCTAAGTGGCTGACAGAGTCAGCCTATTTGCCCCCAACAATCTGGATCCTCAGTTTACCGACCTCGGAAGGATGGATGGCTGAGTCGACCTTGAGCTGGTCAGGATTGAACTTCTAACTGTGGGCAGAGTTAGCCTGCAATATTGGATTCTAACCACTGGGAAGGAAGGAAGGAAGGAAGGAAGGAAGGAAGGAAGGAAGGAAGGAAGGAAGGAAGGAAGGAAGGAAGGAAGGAAGGAAGGAAGGAAAATTAGGGAGGGAAGGAGAAGAGAGGGAGGGAAGGAAGGCCAATAGCAGTAGCAAATAAAGAACTCAGTTCAATATATTGTATTGTCCACGTGCTTTAAACCTATATATTTGCTGATGCTTTATTTAAATTTATATTTGTACATCAGCAATTGGATGACCTCCGTAGATACCATGTACTAAATAAATAAAACAACCCATTTCCCCAACCCAGCTCTTCAACATACACAGCACTACAGCACTTCTATCAATGCTGTCCCCAATTTAAACCAATCAAGACAATCAATGCATAACAATAAAGCTATACAGAACATTATCACGTACGCATCATGCATAAGTAATATAAAGAGTCCTTTTAAAAGGTTGTTCAACTTTCTTTTGAAAGCAGCCGGAGAGACATAAAATGTACTTTGTACATTGTGTAAAATCTGTTTTGGGGACTGCCTCAAATGGACCGTTGATCACAACGAAACTTACTCCAGCCTCCCAATGGAGGGTCCTCCTCCTTCCCCACTCTGCCCCCACCTCAAAATGGAAGCCTACCTGTTTTGATTTCTTAAAAAAGGCTTGTTTGATCTCCTTTGAAGTAGCGTCTTGTTTGATCCCCAGAACTTCATAGTGGCTAATATTTCTCACCGAAGACCTAGAAAGACGACATGGTTACTCTGCTGAAGATGATAAAACAGAATCTTTTAGCGAGGATGAATTTGGACTTATTCTCAAGAGGGTTCTATTAAACCAAAATCAACTGTGATGTTCAAAAGTCTAGGAAGGTGAGACCTTTACCCACATTATATTCTTCTTCTTGTGCCACATTATATAGCTGTAGTATTATTATTATCCGTCTTATCTTCTTCACGACCCCCTCTCATTGTTATTATTATTATGATTATTATACTTACTATTTTGCATGTACAGAGAACCTCTGCATCAAAGACAAATTCCTTGTGTTTCTAATCACACTTGGCCAAATAAAGTATTCTATTCTATTCTATTCTATTCTATTCTATTCTATTCTATTCTATTCTGTAATTCTATTCTATTCTGCAATTCTACTCTACTCTACTCTACTCTACTCTACTCTACTCTATTCTATTCTATTCTATTATTCTATTCCTTTGCCATAATGGTGCAGTGGTTAGAATGCAATATTACAGACTAACTCAGTTCACTGCCAGGAATTCAATCCTAACCAGCTCAAGGTTGACTCAGACTTCCGTCCTTCCAAAGCTGGTAAAATGAGGACCCGGATTGTTGGGGGCAAGATGCTGACTCTGTCAACCACTCAGAGAGAGCTGTATAAAAGGGTCTATAAGTCTAAGTGCTGTTAAATGAATGGTTGTTAAGTCAAGAACTACCTGTATAGAAGAGATTTACATATCAGCACTTACAGTTATTACAAGTACACATTATTTTTTATGACTAGGTTTTTTATCATATATATGTATATATGTGATAAGATAAAAAAAATCTAGTCATAAAAATAATGTGTCTTTGTAATAAGTGTAAGTGCTGATCTGTAAACCTCTTTTTGTAATCTCCGCTTGTAATCGGTCTCACATGTAAGCGGCATATGCACAATCAACCTCTTCTCTACTCCCTTTCCCCCCCACCTCCCCTCAATTTAAACCCCACATCCATTGAGCCACTCCACTACCTCTAATGAAGTGAGAGGCCGCTTACCAAAGCTTATACCTTTTAATATAATTTGTATGTTGGAAAAAGTGCCTTCCCCCACTCCCCAAGGTTTTATCAATTCAAGTGCTTGAATTAATTGCAAGAACCGGACTCACCAGCCATGGATTGTGGAAGAAAATGCCAGATGCTGGGAATTTTGGCAACGTTGGCAACAACGACAAAGGAAATGCAGATTAGCCAAGGCCATTTCTTGAAATCCCTTCCCGTTATCCTGACAAATGACAAAAGACAGAGGGAGCCATTACAATGTAAGCGACTGCTCAAAGTTTATATTTACAGTGTGTGTGATTTTTATTTCAAGGGGGGGTCAGTATAGTACAGGTAGTCCTCGACTTATGATTGCAAATGGAGCCCCAATTTTCTGTTGCTAAGTGAGACAGTTGTTAAGTGAGTATTGTCCCATTTTATGCCCTTTCTTGTGTTGAAGGAAAAGTCTTCATCATGGTTCAGTCCAAGCTGGGGATAAACAACATGGCGACTGCTTTAGAAAGAAGGTTGCAGTTTATTGAAGAGGAGAGCCAGACAGGAAGATGGCTCTGGAAGAAAAGAGAGAGAGCACATGTAGGGAGTGGGTTTTTCTACCCTCTGGAGCCTTTTGTTTGTGGAGTTGTTTCCTGTTCCTGTTTGAGGCTTTGTATTTCCGGTGTCATGTATTCTGACTTTGGCATCTGTGAGTTAATCTTATTATGTCCTGTCTTAAGAGTTTGGGTGGGGTATGTAGATTTTAGGTGTCTTTGTCTTCTTAATCTTCTAGCTTCAACTTTCCTGAATGGTTTACATCTGTATTTCTATAGAGCTGGTTTCTGCTTGGGGGAGGGAGACTTGGGGCTATTAAGAAAACTGGGCATGTTTTTCTGCCTCTTTAAGATCCTTTGGGGAAATATATTTTTCTGCCCTTTTAATATTTCCTTCTCTGGGGGGGGGGGTGACCTCCCACACTTGCTACAGCTGTTCAGTGAATCATTGCAATTATTAAGTTGTTAAGTGAATCTGGTTTCCCCATTGACTTCATTTGTCAGGTCGCAAAAGGGGATCACATGACCCCGAAACACTGCAACTGTCATAAATGTGAGTCAGTTGCCAAGCATCTGAATTTTGATCACTGTGCTGTGACGGTTGTTAAGTGTGAAAAACGGTTATAGATCACTTTTTTCAGTGCTGTTGTAATTTGGAACGGACACTAAACGAATGGTTGTTAAGTCGAGGACTGCTTGTAGCAAGAAATAAACAAAGACCCAACTAAAGGAAGAAACGCTCAGAGCAAAATTCCCAAATTGAAATCAAGGGCATAATGTCTCCTTTGCAATTTGCTGTGCATTAAAGAAGGATGAGTCAGAGGAATGAACTGAGTGGCTTTTGACGGCCATAAATCAAAATAGAGCCAATAATTGTGATAGACAGTAAGCCGGACGACTACAACTCCCATCGCTGAAGCAGCTGAGCATAAGAATCCACCTTACGCATAGGGTTAACCATCAGAGAGGCGGAACTTTAAGAAGCCTGCCTGGTATTTCCGGGGGGGACGAAATAGAAGAAGGACCCCCTACGGCAGAAGCCACCCGGAAGTGCGGCGGAAGGAAAGTCCAAAACAATCCGAAGAGGAAACCGGAGAAAGGGGTCATTGGACGTTTTGAAATCCGTGGGACTGCTCGTCGTTTTTTATAAAAAAAAAAAAACGCAAACCGCGGCCGCTCCCAACTGCCGGAGCAAACGTGGGAAGGTGACTGCGGAGGGGAAAAAAAAGAGGGACGGGCAATGACGGGAGACACAGCGGTTACCATAGAAACTCACCAACGGGTGTGTGGACTTCGGCCGCCATTTTGTCCTCCCTGCCGCGAGCCCCGAAGAGAGGGAGGGAGGGAGGGAGGGAAGGAGCAACATCCGGGTACTCTCGAAGGACTCCCGCTCTTGCCTCCCAAGGGGCTGGTCCTACAACTCCCAGAATCCCTTGCTGAAGATGCTGAGGGGCAATTTTGAGATGTGTAATTGTAGCAAATTGGGATGGAGGGGTCGTTTATTATCTTTTTCTGAAGTTCTGATTAGGCCGTAGATAAGATAAGATAACCTTTTTTGTCATTTTTTTACTGTGGGCACAACGGCACACATCACAAATCTCCCAAACAGGTATATCTTTCCCTCATGGTTTGGTGAAAAGTTGAAGTGAGTCAAGTGTTATGCACACAAACGCATACAGTGTGTTAAATAAAAAGCTAGGTCGGTGTTTCTTGACTTTAGCAAATCCCAGAATTCCCCAGACAACATGTTTTAAGACGTGTGAACTACAAGTCCCAGAATTCCCCAACCAGCATGCTTTTAAGAGGTTTGGACTACAAGTCCCAGAATTATCCAGCATGCTTTAAGGGATATGGACTACAAGTCCCAGAATTCCCCAGCCAGCATACTTTAAGATGTGTGGACTACAAGTCCCAGAATTCCTCAGCTAGCATGCTTTCAGATGGGTGGACTTCAACTCCCAGAATTCCCCAGCCAGAAGTCCACAAATCTGAAAGTTACGAAGGTTGAGAAACACTTAAAGCCTGTCAAATTTTTAAAAGTAGGTTGTATTTAGGTGAAACAGACCAGCAATGCCCTGAAACATTGTGGTCTCAGGCCCACGTTACATTCTTAAAAATGATGGAAGGCCCCCAAAGGGTTTATATTTATATATAAATATGAGTTACATTTGTCAGTTTTTACTACACTAGAAGTTAAAAACGGAGACATTTAAAAATGTTCATTTATTTGACTTCACAGAACCCTTGAAACGGTCTCCTAGTCACTTTGAAAACCGCTGCATTAAACCGTGTCAAGTTTTATACATGCCTATATATGCACACACATGTATGCATGCATATAAATTGCGTGTGTGTGTGTGTGTGTGTGTGTGTGAAAGGTAGACCAAGTGCAGTTTTACATACAACCACATTCACACACACATTTTATATATTTAGATGCAGTGGCCATGCAAAATTCACATGTAACTGGCAAAAAAACTAAGCGGTGTCACATTTGTGTACAATGCACACAGAGTGAAATTCTAAACAGTGAGATTTTATAGATGCACGCAAACATACACGTTTTAGATGAAAGATCAAGTTTACACACACGTACGCTATATTCAGATTGTTAGGTTTTTTGTTTTTTTTTTAAAAAAGTTTGTTTATGGAGAGGTATATATTTGTGCGTGTGAATGCAAATTCAAACGGATGTGTGCACACGCTTGGCTCCTTTTCTGATCTGAGTGATTTTCTATACCTCCAGATGGTCCTGAGGTCATGGCTGTAGGTCACACTTTAAAGCAAGGATTGGCAGCCGGGGGGTCTATCAAATGCACAATTGTCCCCCTCCTCCAGAGCCTTTTTGCCAACAGCCAAGGATACTCAAAGCCAGGTCCCTGACCTCTGAATCTAGCCCCAGTGAATGAATCTTTGCTTTATCCAAAAGGGTTTCCCCCCCCAAAAAAAAATTAAATTGAAAGATGCCAGCTCCAAAGGTTGAAAGGCGAGGGAACAGCTGGCTGTGGGATCTCTTGCCAGGCCTGTGGGTCTTGATTTGAGAAAGCATACAGATGCTTTTTTTGAAGGCGCTGGGCAAAAGGGCTCGCAATTGCTCTGCTGTGAAACACGCGGGAAGGATGCCAGCAACCGCGCCGTGAAAATGAGCCAGGGACCCCCAGCCAAACAAAACACACTTTTGTCAAAGGTGCGACAGTGACGTCTCCCTTTCATTGGGAAGAAGAGAGAATGGACCTTTTATTTTATTTTTGAATTTGGGGGGGGTGATGTTCCTACAAAGGGGCCAGTCAGGACAGCTTAGGAAAACCAGCGTCAAAAGGGAAGTATGTTCTTGCCAGATAGAAATGCCAACATTTTCCATGGTATGAAGGAGAGGGAAAAGATAAAAACGGCAGGGGAAATTAATGCTCCAGGCTTACATCAGGGGTTACCAAATTTTTGCAGAATTTTGAACCCCTGGAAATGAGAAATCAGTTTGTTTGTTTGTTTTTTTAAAAAAACAAGTAAAATTATTTTATTGGCATCGGGGTTGGGCAAGAAATAACTATGCTATCAACTTTTAAAGATTCAATTTTAATCTATACAGTATAACACAGGAGTTCTTGAATGTTTTGGTCCTCCAGTGACCCATTGTGGCTTTGCGCAGTCAACGGGAAGAATGGACTTTAAAACCCTGCCAACCTTTTAAGCAGAATTAAATCTTGCTCCTGTTTTATCCAGCTGAGTTTGCAACTGGTTTAAAGAGATAAAACAGGAAGCTTTTTCCCGGACTTCCCCTTTGTTTGTACAAACCCAATTCAGGTTTTTTTTTAAAATTGCAACCCATAAAGGAGATTGTTTAGCTCAGGGTTGAAATGAGGGGTCCTTGGTATTCTCTGAGCTTGGTTATTTTCTTGCAGATGTTTCATCATCCGAACTAGATAACATCATCAGTGCTAGAAGGGACATCTGCAGCACACCCCACTCCCTTCTAGCACTGATGATGTAACCTAGTTGGGTCGTGAAACGTCTGCAAGAAAACAACCAAATTGCAACCCTTCTCCATGTTGCCCCTGATCACGGGTATCTGCCTGTTTGTCTGTCTGACAATCCTTCTTCCATAGCATCTGATTTTGACATTTTCTATGAAAAGTCGCACTCTTAAAGCCGGGCTCTCTTTGTCAGTTGTAGGACCTTGGTGAACGCCCAGCCGCGCCATCCTTTGGAGCTGATCCATTGTGGAATCATCCTGCAAATAGTCGAATAAAGATCTATTAACCGAAGAAACAGATCTTTCATTGCCGTTGCAAGACGGGTATGCCACAACTTGAGATTTTCCTAATGCTTAATAATTCATTATGCGTAGTATCTGGGTTAAGCATGGATAGTAAAGTAAGCCAAAGTCCCCAATCTTATTTTATTGTGTGAACCTGCCCTATGTATTAAAGTCAATGCCAGCCAAAACACCACCACGGTTACCTGGCCTAGCCAGTTCCAAAGCTGCCTGACTCTTAGGACAAGCAAACCAACTTTATCGCAGTATCCTGTTAACAACGGCTTTGACCTAGACACTAATTAGCTTAAACTAATTCGCTTTGACTAATTAGTTCAATTAATTAACTAACTAACTGATCATCCAGAGATCTTAAAGTCTGCTGATTTCAATTCTATTTTTTAAAAAAAAACAAAAATAAGCAGGAGAAACGAGATGATACAGGTTGTTTCACCCTGGTTTGGACTTCAGTCCCCAAGGATCTTTTTTCCTTTCCCTTCCTCCAGTTCATATAAGTCCCCACCCCCAATTCTTCCCACTGAGATTAACATTAATTAGTGCCCATTACAAATCAGATTATACGCATCCCGTGCGCGCGCGTGTGCAAATCTCTCCTGAATGGAGCTATTGCCAGACAGGCATATCAGGTGCTGGCCTGTTTTTATTTTTTGGGCTGAGCATTTTTTTTTTTTTTAAAAAAAGATCTGAATCCTTTTTAAATCTGTGGGGGGAAAATTGTGGGGAAAAAATGCTGAGCTATCCAACGAACGATTCTTCAGCAAAGCTGCAGCGAGGCTGTTGCTTTTCTGCAGAAAATTATTTCCACTGAACTGCAGTGACTGCATTCAGGGTTGCGAAGGGACCCATCTCTGCTCTGTAATTAAAATGAAATCTTATAATCTCATCCATCTCAGCTCAAGGGCTGACGTGGTTTTTTGGGGGGGGATTGATAGCATCTGCAACCGGGTCCAAAAAAGCTCCATATCAGACATGGTGAACGGAGATTGTGGACAGAATTAACAATTAGCATGAAGCCTCATTTTTTAAAAAAAATTCTTTGTGCTCCCTGTCAAATGTTCCTGCTCTTCCCCCCACCCTCCCAAAATAGGCTTTTTCACGGTCCAGATAAGGGTTGCCAGCGTCTTTCCAGCCTCATCCTGTAACTGCAGACACTCTCTTCTTTCTAACTTGTAAAAATAAGATTGTTCTGTTGCAATTAAGCTGCTGGATTTTAAAATCCTTGCTTCTACACAACTGCGACTGTTATAGAAGCCCTGCCTTCTTTTACATCTCTCCACCCCAATCAGAGAGAAGCAAATCAAGATTAAAAATTTTTTTTTTGAACAGTTGGCAGCCCTGATCTAGATCCCCGCTTTTCTTAACCTCCTGCTGTTTTCCTTCTTCACATCAACCCCGTCCACGTGGCCCTCTGGGATGCACGAAGGGCAGCAAAATCTGAAAAATATCGCTCTGGCTTTGTGTCAACCGCCCCACCCCCACTGGCAGGGGAATTTCTAGTGCCAGGGCATCTGAACACCGCTCTCTATCCAGCCGTGACGACCACTGCAAGTTACCCATGGATAGCTTGACAGGTTGGCTGTCCTCATGGGCAAAAGAGGCAGTCTCTGAGTTTGAAACAAGAAGGCTAAATTGTTTGGACAGGAAGGAGCACATTTGTATGCCCAACAGCTGCTAGGCTGATCTAGGGGGGAAAAAAGCATCGATAAAAGTGAATGCAGATAGTCCTTGACTTACAACAATTTGTTTAGTGAGCGTTCAAAATTACAACAGCGTTGAAAAAAGTGACTTATGACCATGTTTTACACTTATGACCATTGCCAACATCTCCACGGTCGCGGGATCAAAATTCAGACATTGGCAACTGACTCCTATTTATGACGGTGGCCGCGTCCCAGGGTCATGGGACCTTCTGACAAACAAAAGTCCACGGGGAAGTCAGATCCACTTAACAACCGAGTTACTCACTTAACAGCTATAATGATTCACTTATAATAATGGGCAGGACAAGAAGCAACGGATGGAAACTAATCAAGGAGAGAAGCAACCTAGAACAAAGGAGAAACTTCCTGACAGTCAGAACAATTAACCAGTGGAACAACCTGCCTCCAGAAGCTGTGAATGCTCCAACACTGGAAGTTTTTAAGAAGAGACTGGACAGCCATTTGTCCGAAATGGTGTAGGGTTTCCTGCCTGAGCAGGGGGTTGGACTAGATGACCCCCAAGGTCCCTTCCAACTTTATTATTATTATTATTATTATTATTATTATTATTATTATTATTATTATTATTATTATTATTATTATTATTATTATTATTATTATTAAAGATTGTAAAGTGGGGCAGAATTCACTGTCTCACTTAGGAACAAAAAATTGGGGCTCAGTTGTGGTCGTAAGTTGAGGATGACCTGCGAAAGAAAGACGGGGGAAAACAACCTGGAATGTACTGCTTTTCCAAATGGGATTTTCATTATTGATCTCTCGGTTCTGAGCGTCCCTTGGGCTTGTCCACAGAGAGGCTGGCAACAGGATGGGGGGGAACTCCGATACTATAAGTCAGGGCTCTTCAAACTTGGCCCTTTGATGACTTGCGGACTTCAACTCCCAGAATTCCTCGTGCCTGGCTGAGGAATTCTGGGAGTTGAAGTCCACAAGTCATCAAAGGGCCAAGTTTGAAGAGCCCTGCTCTAAGTAGTAATTCCATCACCAATCTGTAGTCGCAGGAAGCTGAAGAGTGATGAGCTGAAGTGGCTGGCTGGGGAATTCTGGGAGTTAAAGTCCACAGGTCTTAAAGTTGCTAAGGTTGAAAAATATTGCTGTGTAGATGCATACTGGGGACCCCCCCCCAAACCAGAGGGAATGCTGGATGTTTCCCCTTTCTCTTTTTCAGGTGACTAAAGGATGGACCCAGATATCTCCTTATTGTTCCAGTGCCCGGCTTCCGGGGGTATCCCCGAGTCTGACGTCCGAGTAGAACTTTCCCCCCTCTACGACCGGAACTCGCTGCCTGCAGATCAGGCCCGAATCGACAGGGTTTGGGCGGCACGTTGCCAGCGGGACCCGTGGCTTTTCAACGGGGCCAAATTTTGCCTCCACTCCGTCAAGCTGGATGGGACCCTTTTGACTTTCCACCTGGGGCTTACCAGCTATAAGGACTTCATGGGCACCAACTTGGCAAAGACTGCCAGGCAGCTCCGGGAGCAGGGAGACCAGGACTTTGGGAACAGCCAAGCCTATCTCGCCGAACCCCTGGGTGTGGGTGCCGTGTTGCAGACAGCAGACGACAACTTTGTCTTCTTGCGGCGCAGCCTGTGTGTGGGGGAAGCCCCGGGAAAGATCGACGTTCCTGGGGGACACCCGGAGCCTCAGGTGGGCGTCTGCATCCGGTTTGAGGCATTCTGGAATGAAGGATTATATTTAAGGAATTCCTTAAAGAATTAAGGAATCCGCTAATCTTAGAAGCAGGCAGTCCTCAATTTACAATCCCCGGAGCCTAGAATTTCAGTCATCAATGCTAGCAGTTGTAAGTTGAGGCCCGAATAACCCGATTCAATTTTACAACCATTTTTATGATGTTTGTAAGGTGAGTCATCTTGGTGACTGAACGAATCATGAAACAAATCCAGCACACCCAACAGACTTTTTTTTTTTGCTATTTTCTGCCAGAAAACAGCCCAAAAAAGTCATAAATTATGACCACATGACCGCTGGATGCCATAATCAGTGTTAAAGCGGGTTAAATGTGATCACATGACTGCAGGGTGTGTATGTGCTTGCGCAGGAATCATAACTTTGACGCCGGGGGATAAATCACCTTTTTAAAAGTCCATTCCAGCCTAGAATGGTTGTTAAGCAACTGTCGTAAGTCGAGGACTGCCTGTATTAGATCTCCTTACCCCCATTAAGCTACACAGGGGGCATCATTCTTTTGGAAAACAGCAGCAACAAACAGAAGCTCTGCCTGACCTTCTCTCCAGTTGATTTCTCCAATGTATTTATGTTCTTTTTTTTAAATATAAATTTTATTAGTTTTAATAGGGTTGGGGATAAAATGGGGTCGGGGTTAGGATTGGGGTTTGGGTTAGGGTTGGGGTTGGGGTTGGAGTTTTCTCAGGTAACATTTTCAATATTTAGCAAACAGCATATTATCTGGGCACATGTATTTAAGTAAGAATAATAGATGTAGTTAATTATCGTAAAGAGTATTAATTAATCACTCAGTCGCCTTCTTCTTACTAATATATATTCAGAATTACATGTCACCTTCCTTTCTCTCTGACTCGTTTTTCTAGCCGTTGACAAAAGTTATCCCACGTTCTAAAGTGAATACATAAATGTATTTATGTTGCTGATGGATGCTGGGGGCAGCCCTTACTCCTGAGTAGGCGTATTTGCTGCTACTGCCCTCTCTTTGCAGGCTGCGTTAGGAAAGGACGCTCCGGAGAGATCCTTGATCCGCCATCAGGACCTCCCGGGAGATCTGGTGGTCAGAGAACTCTTCTCTTCCGTGCTTCGCGAGGTCCAGGATGAGGTGAGAGGCTGGAGGACCAGAAGGAGGCCTGGGGTTGGGCCGCTCTCCTTCCGCTGCTTCCCGACTCACCTTTTTTTTTTTTTACCTGCTCCCAGGTGAACCTTCAGCCAGCCACCCTCAGCAGCCCTCTTTTGCTCGGCATCGTTCGGAACGAAACCACCGCAGGCCGGGGCAGCGCCGAATTCTACGTCAGGTAACGCTTTAGGGGGGAGGGATACAGGCCGTCCTCGATTTAACGACCAACAATTGGGCCCCAGATTTCTGTGGCTAGGTGAGACATCCGCTCATTGATTGTTGACCCCCATCTTACGACCTTGCTTTGCTGCATTTCTTAAGCGAATCGCTGCAGTTGTTAAATTAGTCACACGGTTGTTACTTCCTTTTGCCTTCCCTCCAGGTGCAACCTGACCTCGGAGCAGGTGAAGCAGCGTTACGCTCTGGGGGGCCCGGAAGCTCAAGAATCCGTCAGCATCCTCTTCGCCAGCCGAGAGGTAGGTCTGTGAACCCCTGGTCCAGGGACGGGCAGAGATGGAGAAAGAGAAAGGAGCCCGGGAGCCAGGCTGGAGAAAATATGCCCCAGTTTCTAGAATTCAGCTCAGGAAAACGAGGAGGAAGAGAGGTAGACCCCCGACAGCCATTCGTTCAGTGACCGTTTGAAGTTACGGTGGCACCGAACCAAGTTTTCACGCTTAGGTTGCAGCATCCTCCCTCCCCCCCCCCCGGTCACAGGATCAAAATTCAGACGCTTGGCAACTGGCCGGTATTGATGACGGTTGCAGTGTCCAGGGGTCATGTGATCCCCTTTTGCGACCTTCTGACAAGCAGAGTCAGCTGGCTTTCATGCCTAAGGCGGGACTAGAACTCACCGTCTCCTGGTGATTGGCCCAAAATTGCCCAGCTGGCAACTCATTTTGGCATCTCCCTTATTCTCTCCCCCCCTCTCTCCCTCCCTCCCTCCTTCCCTCCCTCCCTCTTTCTTTTTTTCTTTTTTTCTTTTTTTCTTTCTTTCTTTCTTTTTTCTTTCTCTTCCCCCTTTCTCTTTCTCATTCTCCCTTTCCTATCCTTTTTTCTCTCTTTCTCTTCCCCTTCTTTCTCTCTCTCCCTTTCCCATCCTTTCTCTCTCTTTTTTTCTTTTCCCCCTTTCTCTTTCTCCCTTTCTCACCACTTCTCTCTCTCCTTCTCCCTTTCCCACTCTCTCTCACTCTTTCTCTCTGTCTCCCTCTTTCTCTCTTCCTTTCTCTCTCTTTCTCTTCCCTTTCTCTTCCTCTTTCTCTCTCTTTCTCCCTTTCCCACCATTTCTCTCTCTCTTTCACTCACTGTCTTTCTCTCTGTCTCCCTTTCCCTCTCTTCCTTTCTCTCTTCCCTCTCCCCCCCCCCCTCTTTCTCTTTCTCTTTTTCTCTCTCTCTGCAGGATGTCCTGTCGATGGAGCAGAAGGGCGAGTGGTGGAATCAACTCTGCCCCTCAGCCAAAGGGGCAGTGAAACTTTACACAGAGGTCCTGGGAGCGTGTCAGTAAAAGTCCACCGATAAACTCTCACCAAGAACTGTTCAGAATATCTTTACCGAAACATCAACCGGCCACAAATTCATCGGTTCCTACTTTTCAGCGAAGGAAGGCAGTTAGGCCAAGAAAACAGATTGGTAAGGTCTTCCAGCTCCTAGAACTGTGTCTGTTGGGCTCCATTTTTCAATAAAGAGCGTTTTTTATAGACTAAAATAAATAAATAAAGAATTCTCATCTCAGGTATAATTCCAGATGCTAGGATAGTTTGGGTAGGCTTCTGAGCCTGCGTTTCCTGTCCTCCTCTCTACTCATCCCGCCGCTTTCTATTCCTACATCCCACCCTTGGGAAATGTCTTAAGCTGGAATCTACATCGTTGGCTGGGTTGTTTTTATCCCAAAATTAAATTGCTGTTTGTGGACACACAGCCCTGAAGTTTGCACGGTGTTTGATGGGCTTATAAGCTTTGCACCGTGAACTTTGGAGGTGAAAGGATGAAAAATGTGCCCTGTGTTTTTGTAAGAAGCGAAAACCCCGAAGCAAAACAGATTTCTGAGTCCAATAATGTCTTCAGTATTTATAGGGAATGAGCAGTTACTTTAATGTGTTTGTTTTCAGTTTAATGTGTTAGGGGAGCGGCTGTTGTGGTTCGTAAATCGTGATTTGGGACTCACCCTGTGGTCTGAACACAGCTGATTGCATTCTCAGTTTTTTTGTTTCGCTTTTTAAACTGTGTTGGGTTTGGGCTGCAACTGATGGAATAAACCACGCTTGCCTGAGCTTACAAAACTTCCAGCCCCGATGGACGAGCGACAATGTCTGGATGGACAAAACAGTGTCTTAGGAAAACGCCTGGCGGCTGTCGCGCGTGCGAATTACAAAAATGCACGATTAAGAAGATGGCACAAAATGCTCCCGCTGCCCGTTGGCGGATTTAAGGAGCTCTAAATATTCAGACTGACCTATAAGAACCAGGGAACCGAGAAGCTGAAGTTGGGCCAGGAGAACCACAGAATTTCAAGAGGATTTAGCAGATCCCCTCGCCTGATTATCTGGATTTTTGGCAGCTTGGAGGCAATTAATGAACGACAATCTGGGTACCCTCCCTATCCATCAACATCTTATCCCGGGCCTGAGCGGCTTAGTGGCTGAGCTCAACTGTTGTTCAGCTGACGTATTTGTTTCGTGATTTCTGCTTTACTAGGCTAGAGAGGCAGGAAAAATTCTTACTCTGTGCTGATACCATGCTTAACTGGGTCAGTGGGAAACCGGGATATCGGGGGTCTGGGGACACCAAACTGGGTTTGATTTACTCTTATAATAGCAACAGCGCTTAGACTTATATATCACTTCGCAGAGCTTTACAGCCCTCTCTAAGCAGTTTATAGAGTCAGCCTGTTGCCCCCAACAATCTGGGTCCTCATTTTAGGAAGGAAGGAAGGAAGGGCAACAGCTCTTAGACTTATATACTGCTTTACAGTGCTTTACAGCCCTCTCTAAGCGGTTTACAGAGTCAGCCTACTGCCCCCTCCCCAACAATCTGGGTCCTCATTTTACTGACCACAGAAGGATGGAAGGCTGAGTCAACCTTGAGCCGGTCAGGATCGAACTCCTGGCTGTGGGCAGAGTTATCCTGCAATACTGCATTCTAACTGCCTTGGCAGTTTCAAGATGGGTGGACTTCAACTCCCAGAATTCCCCAGGCAGCCAATACAGGCAGTCCTCGACTTACAACCATTCACCCATCTTACAGCAGGCTGGCTGGGGGATTCTGGGGGTTGAAATCCGTTCATCTTAAAGCAGGCTGGCTGGGGAAAGCTGGGAGTCGAAGTCCACCCGTCTTAAAGCAAGCTGGCTGGGGCATTCTGAGAGTTGAAGCCCACCCCTCTTAAAGCAGGCTGGCTGGGGAATTCTGGGAGTTGAAGCCCACCCCTCTTAAAGCAGGCTGGCTGGGGAATTCTGGGAGTTGAAGCCCACCCCTCTTAAAGCAGGCTGGCTGGGGAATTCTGGGAGCTGAAGCCCACCCCTCTTAAAGCAGGCTGGCTGGGGAATTCTGAGAGTTGAAGCCCACCCCTCTTAAAGCAAGCTGGCTGAGGAATTCTGGGAGTTGAAGCCCACCCCTCTTAAAGCAAGCTGGCTGGGGCATTCTGGGAGTTGAAGTTACCCCTGGTGACTAGGGAATTCTGGGAACTGAAGTCCACCCATCTGAAAGCTGCCAAGGCTGAGAAAACTGTGTGCTACATGACCCACTGGGGAAAAATATATATATATATATTTGACTGGGTTAGTGGCTGAGGCTGATGTGTTTTGCTTCTTTGGGGAACGGCACCTTTTATTCCACACAGCATTGTTGACCGGCGTGACTCCCACAGGTCCTGTGTGTGCTTCGCAGCACCTTCAGCGTGGAATGGCAAATAGGTGAGGGGGTCTCCTTAAGATTGCTTAGGGCAGCCTGCAAACCACACCGGCCTCCGAAAGGACCGGGACAAACAAACCCACTGAAAAATGGCCACCTCAAATCTACATATCCTACTTCGGTCTCTCTCTCTCTCTCTCTGAACGTCCTTCTGCTGAGCAATTCTTTTAAAATGCATCCTTCGCGTCGCTTGGGCGCTGTGTCACAGCCTGCCCTAAATACCGGCAAACTGTCTGGGCTTGCAAAGTCTTCCCCCGTTTAAAATCCAGGCACCGAAGACAGAATGCAAAAAAGCCGAAATCCCAGGAGGAGGAGAAGGGAAAAAAAACAAACTTGCTTTGCCAGGCGGAAAACTATCCCAGCTAGCCAGACGGAATAAAAGCAGACATTGGAAGAAGCAAAAAAAAAAAAAAAAGACAGAAAATGGCAGTTTTCGTCCATTGCTCCCATTTCAACCGCCGGCTTGTGTGTGTGTGTGTGTGTGTGTGTGTTGTACCTTGGGGATGCGATGGTCTGAGAGTTTTGGTGGGTTTTTGTTGTTGTTTTGTTTTTCAATCCCTTTTGTATTCAGCTGTTGTCCTTGAAATGACTTTCCAGACAGGAGACAACAGCTTAGCCATAGCAAGAAGGAGCAAAGAAAGGCAAGACTGACACCCAGTGGTAATCTGGGCACAAGATTGCGTTAAAAAAAAACCCAGTATCTTAAAATACAGGCAGTCCTCGACTTACAACAGTTCGTTTAGTGACCATTCGGAGTTACAACGGCCCTGAAAAAAAGGGGCTTAGGGCCCTTTTTCACACCAACGCTGCAGCGTCCCCACATAGCCACGTGATCAGACTTCAGACTCTTAGCCACTGACTCGTCTTTACGACGGTCGCAGCGTCCCCGGTGTGTGTGTGTGTGTGTGTCACGTGATCCCCTTTTGCGACCTTCTGACAAGCAAAGTCCATGGGGGGGAATCCGGATTCGCTTAACGACCGTGCGACTAACTGAACTGCAATGATTTACTGGAAGGTCGTATAATGGGGCAAAACTCACTCAATAACTGTGTGGCTTAGCAACGGAAATGTTGGGCTCAGTTGTGGTCGTATGTTGAGGACCACTTGTGTTGGTTTGGAGAGCCAGTTTAGAACATAGAGCCACAGGGTGGGAAGGGACCTTGGAGGTCTTCTAGTCCAACCCCCTGCTCAAGCGGGAGACCCTCTACCATTCCAGACAAATGACGGTCCAGTTTCTTCTTAAAAGCCTCCAGTGATGAGGAAGGAAGGAAGGAAGGAAGGAAGGAAGGAAGGAAGGAAGGAAGGAAGGAAGGATAACAGAGTTGGATCTTGGAGGTCATCTAGCCCAACCCCCTGCTCAAGCAGGAGACCCGCTACCATTCCAGACAAATGGCTGTCCAGTCTCTTCCTAAAAGCCTCCAGTGATGGAGAAGGAAGGAAGGAAGGAAGGAAGGAAGGATAACAGTTGGAAGGGACCCTGGAGGTCATCTAGTCCAACCCCCTGCTCAAGCGGGAGACCCTCTACCATTCCAGACAAATGGCTGTCCAGTCTCTTCTGGAAGACCTCCAGCGTTTACAGGCAGTCCTCGGACTTACAACCACAATTGGGACCAGGATTTCCACAAGACCCTTGTTAAGTGAGTTGTGCCTGGTCTTATGTCCTTTTCCACTGCCGTTGTTAAGTGAACTGCACGACTGTGAAGCGAACCCAGCTTCTCCCGTTGACTTCGTTGGTCGGAAGCCAACTGGGAAGGTCAGAAACGGAAGTCACATGGCCCCCGGCATGCCCCACCTGTCGTACTACCTGCGCCAAGGGCCCAAAGTTGGATCACACGATCCCGTGAGCCCGCTGCCCTCGTCGTAAGGGCGAGAACCTGCTGCAGCTCACCTTTTTCCCAGTGCCACGTCAACTTCCAACGGCCGCTAAACGAACGGTCGTAAGCCGAGGACTACCTGTGTTTCTGAAGACTCAGAATCAAGCGCCCTTTCCGGAGGCTTCTGATCAGAACGCCCCTCCCTCGGAACAGCAAGGACAGTAAGCCAACATAGCCGGCCACAGGTTTAATCAGAAGAAAGCAAGCGGCGATGATGGAGACAATGAAACTACAACTCCCAGAAGCCCATGCGGCTCTGGCAGGTCAGCTGACTTCAAGAAGGGCTAGCTTTTTTTTTTTTTCTTTCTTTCTTTTTGCCCTCCACTTGCGGTGCTTTGGAGACTTTTCAGGCTGTGTGCACCAAAAGAGGACCCCCCTCCCCTCCCTCTCTCAGCCAGCCAGACCAGGATGAAGCCGCCAATTACACGGTCTAGAAATTAACCCACTGATCCTCGGGCAGGAGGAGAAAAATAATAAGAATAGTAACTGCAGTGTCTACCAAGGGGGGGGGGGGATTATTGCAGTCGTAAATGTCCGCAGCAGGATCAAGCCGTGGCGAGGGAGCTTTGCAAAGCCCTGCAAGAAGAGAGCGAAAGCAGAAAAGCCGGAGGAGACCCAGGGATCAGGTCAGAGACCCTCGGCCCAGTTTTCCTTCCTGCCTCCTGTAAGGAATAACCTCCACGAAAGGTTTCACAAAGTACTGCGCTCCCAAGTGTGTGTCTCTTCCAGGACGGGCAGTCCTCGAACCTTAACTGGGACTGGGACTCGTCTCTCGGGGTGGATGAGTTTCCGCATGCAGGTTTTAAGCCGATCGCTGCAGTCGTTAAGCGAATCACGGGGTCAATCATCAAACCTGGCTCCCCCCCCTCTCCCCCTCATTGACTTTGCTGATGCGACCCTGGGACGTTGCAACCGTCATAAACACAGGCCGGTATTTTGTGTCTCGTGTGACCGTGGGGATGCCCCCGACGGTTGTAAGTGTGAGGACCAGTCGTTAGGCCACTTCTTCCTGTGCCGTTGTAGTTTTGAGTAGTCACTAAGGGAGTGGTTGTAAACCAAGGACTATTGCAAAAAGCGAGTTGCAGTTCAGTCCTCCTCCTC